TCTCTCTCTCTCTCTCTCTCTCTCTCTCTCTCTCTGTGATCATTGCAAACATTCATCTATCTCTCTTGTAATTGAAACGTCTTTGAGCAGGCGATTCTTATCTCGCAGCCTTTTTCTCGGGGTCGTTGTATACTCCATCTGGATTACACTCTACCTCCATCCCACCCCCGTTCTCCCTCGTCCCACCCTCCTCCCCTATCAACTCGCCCTCAAGCCGGATATACCTTTGCACTACAGTTTTTCCGTCTTCGTTTGCTCTTTTACTTCGACGTTGCTGCATTAATTAAAGTTTTAGTTGGGGATTACATGGGAGCCGGTTTGGACAATAGCCGCCACGTCCATGAGAAAATTCTATTCGGCGCGGTGCTTGCGTCAGCGCCGATCAAAGAAACGGCTGCTATTTAATATATTTATAACTTGAATCTACAATGAAAATTCAATTACTATCTTGTTTCAGGCACCCACGTGCCTTTTTATACAAGTGTTTGCTTTTTACGGGCAAATATATCGGTCTAATTGTGCGAGCTATAATAAAGATATTAATTAAAAGTTTTAAAGGGCTTGATTTTTTTTTTCTTTTCTTTTTGTTATTTTCATCGATTATTATCGATATTAAATAAGATTACACGATCATTTTAATATATGATATTGACAAGAGAATGGGTATTTGCGGGAAGACCCGGTTGGCCGGGGCTCAAAGTCCAACTTCCCGTTACATATTTATTTTCTTTAAGCTTCATTCGCATGAATTTTTTAAGTAAAGCTCGGAACGAATAATCAAGGTTAGTTCAATGTATAGTGTAAGGCATATTAAATAATAAGTTGAATATAATGTAAGTAAATTGGCAAACTAACGATTTTTTGAAGATGCAGAGTCACCGTTCCCATTCCAAAGTATAGCTAGTTATGCCAACATAACGACAAAATTCATCTTGTCATCGGAATGACATAAATTCCATGCCATTACACTTTCATTTATCTTAAGCGCGAATTCTCTGATGAATTATCATATACATAAGAATTTTTTTTCAGAAATTAACTTAATATTATACTGTTCATACTTACGGAATTTTATGCAAATAATTTATAAGCTTAGGAATTAATGTTATTCGATGATAAATTAATTTTAACATTAACGGCATTCTTTATAAGGCATAATAATTAAATTATTTTAAAATAATTATCTTTGAATGAAAAATAGTCTGTTGAAAAATATTTTCTTTTTAATAACGCCTATAAAGGATACGTTAGTAATTCACGCTTAAAGCCCATAAAAGGCCTATAAATATAAAATTTATACTAAAATAATGAATTAATTTTTTGAATTTTGATGAAACTGCCGATCGGCCCTTCTACTTAAGTGTAATTTAAGCATTTCATCCTATCCAAAAAATGTATTATAATTAAAGTAAATGTTGCTTAAGTGATTAAATATATTTATAAAAATTGATTTCACGCAATGTCATTCTGATTTTTACTCATTTTGAAAAATCTGTAATACGATCTGTCTGATACGAATGACGAAACTTTTGCTCTGGCGTATAATATGCAAAATTTCGCGAGCTAATTGCATTTGTGCGTATTCGAGAGAATCATATTCGTTGATGCACATTCCCAGATCATGTTAAATGAATACACTTAATTGCTCCAAATTGATTGAACATAGCAGCGGGGAGCGAAAATTATTCAATTTTTTAATCCTTTTTAGCGTTTTTAATATCTATTTTGAGCTGACTGGATTTTTCCGTGAAATTCACATATTAAAACAAAAATTTTAACTCCACATTTTATATGCCTGTAATTGCATTCATGACAACACAACTCGATCATATTTAAAATGAATTATTAATTCTATTCCGTACGTTAACAATCATGTACATTTGTGTGTGCGTGCGTGCGCGCGCGCGCTTACGTTTGTATATTGATTTTACTTTTCTATAAAGCTAGTTTCGATTTCGTTCCAACATACGACTTCTGGCTCGTAAGTATAACGACTTAAAGTGGCAGGATATCACGAGATATTTTACTGGAAATATGTAATAATTTTGTATCGAGTAGAAGGATAATATTATTACGATTATTGAATTGCAAGTAATTATGAAAAATCTTTGCAATACTAATAATATTTAAGAATACTATGATTAAAGTATATAATATATGTGTTCGATAATAATTAAAACGAATGTCATTTATTAGAGTGTAAATAAACGTTTATAACCTATACGTAATAAAATTGTTTACGCATAACATTCAGAGTGAATAATTAAGATAATAGGGAGTCGAATATAATAATATTGTCGTGTGCTTTCATCTCGAGTAGTGCCGGTCGAAAAATCTATCGCAAATTAGAAAGAAAATGCTCAATTACATTGGACAATCGAATGAACGAGTAGGTAGAAGAAGCAAAGCGTCGTAAAAATGAAGGAAGCAGGAGAGCTGGAGAGCAGAAGAG